TTTTCTCTCTCTCTCTCTCTCTCTCTCTCTGTGTGTCTTTCTCTGGTCTAATTAACATAAAATAAATAAATAAATGAAATGAAATAAGAATAATTCTTTAAAAAAAAAAAAACCAGGGCCAGCAGATGGCTTGGTGGTTAAGGTGACAGACACCAACATGCCCACTGTGATTTGAGTTCCAGACCTATGGCTTGCCTTCTCACTCTTTCTCTCAGGTGAGTATGTATGCCCTGCAATAAATTTTTAAAAAAATAATAAAAATGATAAATAAAATGAAATAAATAATTCTTTAAAAAAGAAAATATTTCAAAAATGAACTAGAATAAAAAGCTATGATAAGGGACCAGCAGATGGTGCAACGTTTATTTCACTGGACTCCCACAAAGTCGACCATGGTTTGAATCCCAGATCTGGTGGCTTAAAACTCATGTCCAGTGCGTGTGCGTGCGTGCCCAAGATCCCAAGAGGAGAATAGAGGAGAGGGGACTAAAGCATGGCCGTTCCTCTTGGGAGGTGATTCCTCACTTTGTCGCAGTTCAAGTCCTGGACCTGGAGGCTTGAAACTCATGCTGGGCATATGTGAATGCATGCCCAAAATCCTGACAGGAGAATGGAGGAGAAGGGACTACGGAGTGGCCATTCCCCCAAGGGGTGATTTCTCACTTTCTGTCTCTCCAGCAAGCACATACCCTATAGGAAAAACTTAATAACACAAACAAAAAAATAATACCAGAAAAGAACAAACATGTTACGCTAAATACAGTGCCTGGGTCTGCAGCCTATGTAGAAGAGGAATGTCACTCAAATTTCAACTTTCAGTGCTTAAATCATTTTAAACAGTATGAATCTAAGACCCTAGAATAAAGATGAAAGTGATTTTAATTATCTAGGGCAACACATTTTCCAAAATTTCTTAGTACTGATAACCACTAATCTGGAGTAGAAAGAGTTCTACTCCAATATGAATGAGCTGCTAGTCTACCCTTCCATATAATAACAATAAAGTATATATCTGCTTTTTATATAAAATACAATTATCAAATTTTAGATGAAAATAGAAGACTACAAATTAATCCCAATGCCTACTTACACAGTATCTCAATTCTCAACTTAGCCAGACTTTTCTTCATACTATACCAAAGTTCAAAAAGGAAATCTGGTATTAGGAATTTTTAGAACAAGAATGTAGTGGCTAATTTACAGGGAAATTTGCCAAGAAGAACAAGACAAAATTAGCTATAAAGATAGATACAGGGGAGGGGAAGGCGGTGGAGTGGGAACAAGTGGTGATACAACAATAACACAACTGGACCCACTGGGTTCCAGGACTTCCTGGGGAAACAGGGCACATGTGCACCCAGGATCCAGGCTGGTTAAGACTTGGGGTAAACCGCCACATGAAGACCCATTAAGGGGTGCTGTATGTGTGTGCCTCTCTAACAGAAAAAAATTAATGAATAAACTTTATAAAAACATAAACATGAGTAGTCTCCAAAATGTTCATGGAATATATGTATTATGAAAAGACTATATGGCGGGATCAGCAGTTAGCGTAATGGCTAGGTCACTGAACTCCCATGTATGGACCATGGTTCAAGTCCCGGACCTGGTGGCTTAAAACTCATGCCGGGCACGTGTGCGTGCATGTCCAAGATCCCAAGAGGAGAATGGAGAAGGGACTGCAGCGTGGCCATCCCCCTGGGGGTGATTTCTCACTTTCTGTCTATCTCTCTCTCTCTCTGTCTTTCTGGCGAGTGCACACACCCTATAGCAAAAACCTCTCAAAAAAAAAAAAAAAAAAAGAAAGAAAGAAAAAGAAAAAGAAAAGAAAAGACTGTATGAGGTGCCTGCAGGTGGCATGGTGGTTAAGGCACTGGACTCACACATGGTCAACCACAGTTCAAGTCCTGGACTTAGCAGCTTCTTTCTCACTTTCTCTCTTCCTCTCTCATGAACACACGTGTCCTAGAGCAAACTGTAAAATAATAATAAAAAATACAATTAAATAAATAATTCTTTTTAAAAACACTATGTGAGGATTTCATTTTTTTTTTCACTAAAGTAGATTCATATTAGCTTGTTACAATATGTCTCCACAGGATCTACTCTGCAGCAATAAG